CGTACACTCTATACAAATTAAATGCCATATGATAGAAAAAATAGTTTCACATGAAATTTTTCCGAATTACCTTTAAAAGTTTCGTCAAACTGTGAACGGCTCAACTTGAATTTGTGACATCGAAATAAAATTAAATCACGATCCTTTCTATAAATTAATTTAAGACGACCATTGCATTTCATACAATCTTCATCTACAGGTTGTAAACCGAACTTTATGGCAAACTGAACATCTGATGATATTGTTTTGTCAACATCATGTCAGAAAATCCGATTATCAATAATGGAAAAAATCCTTTGAGGTCCACTTTTTCCATAAAAATTGTTGACCTTCAAGTAATTCTGACCTTACAACAATAAAAAAGAAAATAGTAAATATTAACTCCGAAAAAAATTTTATACAACTCCATGAAATAAATTTTTGAAACTTAATAATAAAATAAAGTTTATAAATTGATTTTTTTAAAAAACCCAATATAAACACCAAATGATGTTAGAAATCTTGAAAATCATTGATAGCAACACCTACATTAAAAAACGAAATAACTTGTTATAAGATTCCGTTAGTTAGGTAAATCTGATGGCGGAAATCTCCGCCATCAGATTTACCTAACTACACATTTCCATATTTTGAAGCTGGAACAGACTCCATCATCCGACCCTCTCGTCCCTTTTCTAGCAGGCTGACGCCAGATATGTGGTCCATTAAGAGAATTCCCTCCATCGTACTTCGGTAGAATTGTGCTGGTATATCATCTTGTAACAAACCGATGCTTTATAGATTTGTTTACTTCTGCAGCTTCTCTAGCACCTGACACTTACATGTCGAGTGCCAAATTTTCATTTTTATAAAATTAATTTTTGAAGAAATGCTGTCTGAAAAATGTGCAGATCAAAGCATACACTTGCTTTATTAGTGCCTCTAGCTAGAATCAGCACTTTCTACACACTTGCCGACTTACACTGTTTACTTCGCGTTATGCTCAAGCTTTATCCATACTACCATGCTTTGTCACTCATACTCATGACAGTGATTGCGTGGTTGCTTTGAGCTATTAGTTTCATACTGGTGTGAAAGAAAATTATATACGAATCAATGAAATGTTGCGATAATTTGAATCAACGTAAATTGTGAGCTTTTTTTAGGCTTCGAGCAAACCGCGTTATATCGAATCAGTGNAAATAGTTGATGACTGTTGAACAAAGAGTAGAAACAGTTAATAACCCTATTATAAAATATTGTAGAAGGAAGTTCATGTTCAATCAAGAAAAAGTTGTAACGCATTTTCCACCTTTAACTCTTTCTTGAGTGGGGTGCCAATCTGTCATACCCCCAATTGTTAAGCAAATAGACCAGGGTACCAATTCATCGAAACCCTGTTGTAAAGTACTATATTTAATTTGCCGCTCTACAACGAATTTTTCTTAGAGCCGGGACCTAACGGGTACTTTACGCGGTTCGCGTTTGTTAGTTGCCAGGCCTGGACTTTTAGCGTGCACCGGAAAAAATTAAGAACAAAGTTAGCCACAAAAAATTCTCAATAATAAATGTTTAATCAAGTTTAACAAATACTATGTACAAGATTTATAAACAAACAACAAATTTATTAATCAAAATCAAAATCACAAAATCAACCCGACAAACTTAAGTCTTATTCTAACTTAGAACTATTCCCCTTGGAATTCCGACAAAACAAAATCCAATTCTTAACTTAGATACAAATTCTCTTATAACTATCAATCCTAACCGTCACCTCAATTAATACTCGGAACCTTTTCCTTCTACTCAAGACTTTCCTATTTTCCAATCACCAAAATNATTACTACGTAAATTATATTTAAGAGTTTACGACCACTGTGCTGGGTGAGACGTTGTTAAAACAAAAAAAGTTATGCATTCCATCACGTACATAAACAGTGTCATAATTCGCCAAGTGCAAATCAGCAAATTCGTAAAATTTTTGTTTATTTTGAACAATCCGGATAATCGAAAATCCGGATAATGGAGGTCCGGATAATGGAGGTTCTACTGTAGTTTCATACTGGTGTGAAAGAAAAAATATTTTATTACGTTACCAAAAATACTAAAACTATCAGTTCTACGATTTAAATTTATACTTGGGTGACGACTGACTTTACTTTTACACTTACATATAAACGAATTTCAATTGTTCAAAAATGGACATTAATAGCCGAATGCTGCAATTTCTCCGTTGCATCTCCCCTGACTACACCACTCCAATGTACAATACGAGGGACAAAATAGTAAAAGTATAAAAATAACGTAACGTAAAAGTATAAAATACGTAATTTATGGACGATCTCCGAGATTATCTTTTGTCATCCCGTCTATACTCATTACTAGTTAAATAGCGTTATGCTCGCAACTGCATATAACTATGAAGATTCTGTAACATATTCTTCTTAAAAATTAAAAAAAAATTATTCTCTCTTATATTAAAAATTGAAGCTTTTTGTATAATCATAAATATTTTAACACTACATTTAAAAATCAAACCAATAACATCAGAAAAATACAGATTTATATAACATTTATTATTGCATTATTAAATTTTGTTCATTCTACAGAGAAATTAAAGTGAATAATCTTCAAAAATTTTTCTGCCTTTATATTTCATAGAAAATATCAAGTTGATGATATTCTTGGAAACTGTTCAGACTAATTTAATAATCTGTTGAAAGTATTACAAATATGCAATGTATACAAATTTAATTTCAATTTAAAACATTACATAATTTAAAATAAATTTATTGATATAATTTGATACTCAGATTTAAAATATGTATTAAGCTATTTATTAAAATATTATGAATACAGATTATTTTTACAATATATTACAAGTTACAAATATAGGAAAATTTGCTTAAAATAATTCCTTTGGTATAAAATAAAATTATATAGACATATGAAAAAATGAGAAATAAATATTGGAGTTCAACACAAGAAAATAATTGTGCTTATGTATTTATGACATATTTGAAACAGATGTTTCTTAAATATAGTTCAAAAGTACCAGAATAATGCTTTTGGAATCTTAAAAGTAAACAAAGTTCCAGATATTTTTTTCCAATAAAAAAAAGGCTACCAAGAGGATAAGAAACTTTTTCTTTTTTGAATTCACATTGTGGAAAATAAAAAGTTTTAATTTAATCTAAAAATTTTAAATTTCTGTATATTAAAGAGTTAAATTATATAGGATAACACAACTAGTTAATTTTATAAAATAATTTTGTATTTTAGTCTAACATTAAGAGTTATTTACTTCAGTCAAACGATTTTTGATATCTTCTACAAGTTTTTCTCGTGAAACTTCAATCTGAAAAATTAAAATACTCATATTATAATCTATAAAGTAAATAATTTTTGATTTATAATAATTTATATAATTAGCTCATACAGTAAATAAAAAGAAAATAGAAAAAATATATAACATAAATTTTATTTGCATAATGCTAAATAAGACAAATCAATAAAATTCTGCAAGTACCTATAAACTGACACTGACAGCATGAATGAAACCAATAATTATTACAATGGAAAAGTGAAGAGTCTTAAATTTAATGAAGTGCAGTTTATCAAAATTATTAACAGCAGCAATGTTTTTAAATAATGATAAGAAACAAAATCTAGAAACAATATAAAAAAATAGCTTGCAATACCATTTTGTACAGCTGAATTTTTTAAATGAGAGTGAATTCTTGTTTAATTTCTACAGTAAATTTTTGAATTCATCACTTGAGGTTAGGATAAATGTTGAAAATCTATAATGTGATTATTTTGTTTAATTAAAACTGGTTTGGATTGCAATGTAATAATCAAGATAATTTAGTTTTCAATTTATTGAACAGATTCATTAACATATGCAGAAATAAATATGATTAATTAGAAAGCTGTTGCAATAAAAAAACTTCAAATGTACCTAAGCACTATCAAAATTATTGTCATGAAGAATCATCATTAGAAAAATACAAATTTTAAATTGTACCAGTAGGCATGCATTACAATCAACACCAGTAATATAGACATTATATAGTCTGTATTAAATTCTCTTCCTATCTATTTGTGGGTTTTATTTGTAATTTAGAAATCAGTATGTGTTATTAAACAAATAATTATTTTAAATTAAAATTGAAAAAATGATTGTAGATCTTACAAACTACAAATTTTTTCATCTGGGTAATAACAGAAAATTTTTCCAGTTTAATACTTTTTACTAGTTTTACAAGAAAATTCGATATGGCTGGGCCTGCTATTTGGACCCTCACACCTTACAGATCAAATGTTTTAAGAAAATACAAAATTTTAAAATGTAAAAATATAATCTCATTGTAACAGTATTAAATACACTACCATTATTATTCTCTGAAGTAAGAATCATTTTCATCTTAACCAACTATAAACATGAAAATATTTACTAAATTATTTAATAAATATATAATTACTATCAAAAGATATGCAGGTTAAGATGAACTTTTAAATCAAAATGTGCTGTAAGTGCTTGAAATCCTCAATTAAATATCCAAAGTGAGATAGAACTAATGGTCGCACTTCCAGTTTGCTGGAATGCAATGTTAAACTTGTATAATTGGCAAAATTTAGATCATGTCTTAGAGGAAACTATAATTCTGACTGTGTGTGGCATTTTTTGATGCTTATACATTTTTGATGCTTATACATATATGTGTAGATACCTGAATCTAAATCCTTAATTTTTCCCTTTCAACATCAAAGAAAAGATTAGTTATTTCTCTATGAATAATAAGTCTGGATTTGCATCTATATAACATTGTATGGAAGTTTTTATTATATCAGTTATTTCTTTAGCATATCCAATAATGCTTTGATAATTTATAAATAATATTGACTTATTCCAAAACTGTGTCTTTTAATTATTCTTTATTTCACAACTGTGTGATAGGTAGACACTGGGCATCTTTAACATCACTATTTATTCAGGAATATCTTACACACTGATATANGTTAATACACATTCATATATAATTCCAGTATAATAATCCAATCCTCTTGCAAGACTAAGATCAAATGATAACTATGGAATAAGAAAAATTTTGTTTAACAATTTAGCCAAGAAATTATCAAATTCAATTCTGTTCTTACATTAATGAAATAAATGCAAGAACAAAAATTCATTAAAAAAAATTCTTAAATAAACAAAAACAATAAATTAAGAATTTAGTTCAAATTCACATTTTCATAAATTTAATATCATCAAAGAATTATCACATCAAATTTTAAAGTAAAATATGTTGAAAAAATTCATAAAATGAATCAAAATGTGGAAATTCACAAATACTTTCATTTTTATTACAAGGCTTTTTAAGTGAACATTCTAAAACATTACAATATAAAAAATAAAACACAAAAATTTAAATGCATTTAAATCAAATCAATTTGGATGCAANTATTCTTCTTAAAAATTAAAAAAAAATTATTCTCTCTTATATTAAAAATTGAAGCTTTTTGTATAATCATAAATATTTTAACACTACATTTAAAAATCAAACCAATAACATCAGAAAAATACAGATTTATATAACATTTATTATTGCATTATTAAATTTTGTTCATTCTACAGAGAAATTAAAGTGAATAATCTTCAAAAATTTTTCTGCCTTTATATTTCATAGAAAATATCAAGTTGATGATATTCTTGGAAACTGTTCAGACTAATTTAATAATCTGTTGAAAGTATTACAAATATGCAATGTATACAAATTTAATTTCAATTTAAAACATTACATAATTTAAAATAAATTTATTGATATAATTTAATACTCAGATTTAAAATATGTATTAAGCTATTTATTAAAATATTATGAATACAGATTATTTTTACAATATATTACAAGTTACAAATATAGGAAAATTTGCTTAAAATAATTCCTTTGGTATAAAATAAAATTATATAGACATATGAAAAAATGAGAAATAAATATTGGAGTTCAACACAAGAAAATAATTGTGCTTATGTATTTATGACATATTTGAAACAGATGTTTCTTAAATATAGTTCAAAATTACCAGAATAATGTTTTTGGAATCTTAAAAGTAAACAAAGTTCCAGGTATTTTTTTCCAATAAAAAAAAGGCTACTAAGAGGATAAGAAACTTTTTTCTTTTTTAAATTCACATTGTGGAAAATAAAAAGTTTTAATTTAATCTAAAAATTTTAAATTTCTGTATATTAAAGAGTTAAATTATATAGGATAACACAACTAGTTAATTTTATAAAATAATTTTGTATTTTAGTCTAACATTAAGAGTTATTTACTTCAGTCAAACGATTTTTGATTTCTTCTACAAGTTTTTCTCTTGAAACTTCAATCTGAAAAATTAAAATACTCATATTATAATCTATAAAGTAAATAATTTTTGATTTATAATAATTTATATAATTAGCTCATACAGTAAATAAAAAGAAAATAGAAAAAATATATAACATAAATTTTATTTGCATAATGCTAAATAAGACAAATCGATAAAATTCTGCAAGTACCTATAAACTGACACTGACAGCATGAATGAAACCAATAATTATTACAATGGAAAACTGAAGAGTCTTAAGTTTAATGAAGTGCAGTTTATCAAAATTATTAACAGCAGCAATGTTTTTAAATAATGATAAGAAACAAAATCTAGAAACAATACAAAAAAATAGCTTGCAATACCATTTTGTACAGCTGAATTTTTTAAATGAGATTGAATTCATGTTTAATTTCTACAGTAAATTTTTGAATTCATCACTTGAGGTTAGGATAAATGTTGAAAATCTATAATATGATTATTCTGTTTAATTAAAACTGGTTTGGATTGCAATGTAATAATCAAGATAATTTAGTTTTCAATTTATTGAATAGATTCTTTAACATATGCAGAAATAAATATGATTAATTAGAAAGCTGTTGCAATAAAAAAACTTCAAATGTACCTAAGCACTATCAAAATTATTGTCATGAAGAATTATCATTAGAAAAATACAAATTTTAAACTGTACTACTGTAGTAGGCATGCATTACAATCAACACCAGTAATATAGACATTATATAGTCTGTATTAAATTCTCTTGCTATCTATTTGTGGGTTGTATTTGTAATTTAGAAATCAGTATGTGTTATTAAACAAAGAATTATTTTAAATTAAAATTGAAAAAATGATTGTAGATCTTACAAACTAAAAATTTTTTCATCTGGGTAATAACAGAAAATTTTTCCAGTTTAATACTTTTTACTAGTTTTACAAGAAAATTCGATATGGCTGGGCCTGCTATTCAGACCCTCACATCTTACAGATCAAATCTTAAGAAAATACAAAATTTTAAAATGTAAAAATATAATCTCGTTGTAACAGTATTAAATACACCACCATTATTATTCTCTGAAGTAGGAATCATTTTCATCTTAACCAACTATAAACATGAAAATATTTACTAAACTATTTAATAAATATATAATTACTATCAAAAGATATGCAGGTTAAGATGAACTTTTAAATCAAAATGTGCTGTAAGTGCTTGAAATCCTCAATTAAATATCCAAAGTGAGATAAAACTAATGGTCGCACTTCCAGTTTGCTGGAATGCAATGTTAAACTCATATAATTGGCAAAATTTAGATCATGTCTTAGAGAAAACTATAATTCTGATTGTGTGTGACATTTTTTAATGCTTATACATTTATATATACATGTAGATATCTGAATCTAAATCCTTAATTTTTCCCTTTCAACATCAAAGAAAAGATTAGTCATTTCTCTATGAATAATAAGTCTGGATTTGCATCTATATAACATTGTATGGAAGTTTTTTATATCAGTTATTTCTTTAGCATATCCAATAATGATTTGATGATTTATAAATAATATTGACTTATTCCAAAACTGTGTCTTTTAATTATTCTTTACTTCACAACTGTGTGATAGGTAGACACTGGGCATCTTTAACATCACTATTTATTCAGGAATATCTTACACACTTATATGTGTTTCAGGCATACGTCTCTCTCTTCCATTGGCTTTTTCTTTAAGACATTTAGTAAAGAGGTGCTAACTAATACACATCATTTTTTAAAATACATATATTTACAGTTAAAATTTCCCGACAGTGTACTGAACAGCACTTAACCTTCACTAGTGATGTTGATTTTATATCATCACCAGTGAAAAACTGTAGACAATCACTTGTGTAAGATGGCATTTTCCTAAATTTTTTGAAGGTCAGTGATAAGTGGAAAAAANATCAGTTATTTCTTTAGCATATCCAATAATGCTTTGATAATTTATAAATAATATTGACTTATTCCAAAACTGTGTCTTTTAATTATTCTTTATTTCACAACTGTGTGATAGGTAGACACTGGGCATCTTTAACATCACTATTTATTCAGGAATATCTTACACACTGATATGTGTTTTGGGCATTTGTCTCTCTCTTCCACTGGCTTTTTCTTTAAGACATTTAGTAAAGAGGTGCTAACTAATACACATCCTTTTTTAAAATACATATATTTACAATTAAAATTTTCCAACAGTGTACTGAACAGCACTTAACCTTCACTAGTGATGTTGATTTTATATCATCACCAGTGAAAAACTGTACACAATCACCTGTGTAAGATGGCATTTTCCTAAATTTTTTGAAGGTCAGTGATAAGTGGAAAAAATTTTCAATTAAAATGTTTACAGTTAGCTGATAGAATGTTGCATGAAGATATCATGAAAATACAGCTAAGTTAGTCAATGTAGTAAAAAATGCCTGCAAAAAAAACTAGATGATATGGAAAATCACCACAATTACATATGATCACAGGTTAATGATATTTCACTGATAGACTGTTAATTTATAATAAATTGAAATGAAAACGATTTATAAGATAAGCTATGCATATAGTATTAAAAACAAATTCAAACCTCTTTTCTAGTTGAAACATGCCGTAACTTTACAATTCCTTTTTGCAACTCACTTTCACCAATGATAATAGCCCAAGGTATTGCATGTTCTTCACAATATTGTAACTGATCAAGAAGTTTTGGATTCAATTTATAGGAATGTTCAGTCTGTGATAAAAATAAAAAAATAATATAATTACTTATTTATTTATATTGTAATTATAAATATAAAAATTAGTTATTTTTACAAAAATTTCAACCATTTTTATACAATATACAATGAATTATGAGAATACTAATATTTTGAATTATCCAAATTCATTAGAATATTAATTAGTAAAGTATATGAAGTAAAAATTTAAAAAATATTAATTAAAGGCAATTACTGAAATCACTGTATTTTTACACTTTTTAAAGACTTTGATATTTTAAAAATTAGTGTAACATCATACTTGGACTTTGTTGTTTTATATGTATTCAAAATGATTTTATTTATGATATTTTGATTCATTAGCAAATTTAGTTTGAAGAAATCTTACATTTCTGAAATTTGAAAATCTTTATATTTNATATAAATACATATACTAACTTAAAAACTGTACTTTATAATCCAGATGTGTAATATGGGTTCCTAAAGGTAAAATTGCACCTCAATCCTCCTCTCCTAATAATTTTGCAAAAGATCAGAAGCGCTGCTAGCTGTTTGAACGCCCATGTGCAGTACCGATTATGCTGCCCCCGTTTAACTACGACTACCTACGCTGAGCTTGCCAGAAAGGTTCTTTAGTGTTGTCTTATAAAGGTGTGAAAAAAGAAAAGAAATACTTTACAAAGAAAAACTATTTATTTTTATTACTAAATTATTTTTGTTTACTTAGGTATAAAACCATATAAATATTTACCTACAGAAATTGAACTCTTCTTGCCTTTATGTTTGCGAAATCTGCTATCAATTTTCTTGTATCCAAGCTGTCTATGATTTCATGTTCAATTGAAACTATAAATGTAAATGAAGATATTGTGATATTAACATG